AAGTTCACTATTGACTCTACAAGCCTTAGATTGTTTACTTGTCTGTTCTAGAGTGGAGATAGTTTGGGAGAGTGTCTTGAGTTTAAACTCATGTTCTTTTTTACGTTTAGAGCCAATTTTTATAAGTTCCCTCCATATAGTGCATTTATATGCTTCCCATGTGATTAATGGGGACGTTTCACTCATTGGGTTGAGTTTGAAAAACAGTTTAATTTGTTCAGCTAAATGTTGGCTGATAACATTGTCAGTAAACAGGGAAGAGTTGAATCTCCAATTAAAATGTTTAGGCTTAGGTGAGGGTATGTCCAGCGTCATGGCTATGGGGGTCCAAAAGTGATTGAATACCGACAGCGACGTGTTTGAGAAAAGTCAAGTCTCTCTGGGAAACAAATAAATAATCAATTCTTGAATATATATTATGCGGTATTGAATGGAAAGTGTAATCTTTGCCCTCCGGAAACAAAGTTATCCAAGTGTCTACTAAAAGCAGAGATGGTAAAAGGGTTTTGATCCTCTTAAGAATCTTATACATTACACAAGATTTTCCATTAGATGTGTCCACCAGTGGGTTCAGTGGGATATTAAAATTGCCCTCAAATACTAGGCACCCCGAAGCAAAACCTTTCAATTCCTGAATTACATTATTACCAAAAGGTAATATGAGCTGTATTTGGAAAGTATACATTTGCCAAAGTCAAAGTCTGGCCACCGCAATCACCTTTCAAAAATATGTACCGTCCATCAGGGTCAATTAATTGTTGTTGCAAGGTAAAGTGGGCCTCCTTGCTCACTATTACGGACACACCTTTAGATTTTGTGATTGGGCTAGGAGAGTGGTAGGCCAAAGAAAATATTTTGTCAGTCATACGTGGAATTTTAGAGTTTGTAAAATGGGTCTCCTGCAGAAATACAAATAGCAGGTGAGGCTTTTTAAGTTGCCTCAGTAAGGATACTATTTTTTCAGGGATATTTAAACCTTGTACATTATGTGAGATCACTGTTGGTCTTGAGCCGAGCTGCTGATAGGCCATTTTTTATAGCAAAAGGAGAGGCCTCTCCTAAGCTAAAATATATGCAATTAATGTAGGGATGTTCTGTACTAGTCGTTGTAACTAGTGAAGTTAACTATATAATGTTTGTTATATATAAAAGGAACTTGTTATATAGATAACAAGAAACAGGTATAATACCTTCCGATATCTATGTATCTAAAAGGTCCAAAATTTTATTATGAAACCTAATAGAATATTTGTGGAGATGAAGGAGTCAAAACCACTTGTGGGGAGTCGTGGAAGGAACGTTTGGAAATATGTAACAAGTACAGCTATAAGTGATTTAGGACTGAGAGAGAGGGGATCTGAGCTTTAACAAAAACCTGTTTCTAATGCTGTACATTCACTCATGATACCTCATGGTTAATTAATGTGTCAATATTTCAAACCAATTGACCATATCAAAAGGTATCTTATTGTATACCATCCCCCTTAGCAGTGCCATTGCACCGGTCGGCAAAGCAAGTCCCTAGCACCCAAATCAATTGGGTTCAAGCCCATTTAATGAGATAATATTACTTTAGGTCTAAAGCATCCGAGAGCCAAGTGGCAGTTATGATGATCAATCGAAGGGCACTGTATATAGGAGGCAGGCAAAAAACAACAATGGATTGTCAAAGTTAAGGGGGAACCACCTCCCCTTACTCGGCAGCAACTGTCCCCCTCATCCCTCAAAAAAAGAGAGGAGAGGGAAGCTCAGGAAAAGTAAAAATAAAAACAAGTATAGCAACCATAAGTGTTCCTTAAAGTCCGTGAAACAGTCCACCTAAGAATAACCTAGATGGCATCATTCAGGCAAGTGGCAAAGGGGTTCTTTAGCCCCTAACCCGGGGGTTGAACCTCCAGTAGTGTCAAAGATATAACAGACATCTACATCCAACTGTACAGTGGATCATATGGGAGCTTTTCATCTATGGGTTCTGCCACAGGATAATGGTGTATCCAGCCGAGCTGTTGTGTGACGCCCATCTTTACTCTTTTTGGAGATGTGTATATCTGGAGTATTAAGCGGTGATTTTTGAGAGTTGCAGACTTGTGATAGATTTCTAAATTCTTGATACCATTCCAGAAGATTAGGTTGCTGTTATTGCAGCCCATCAACGAAATCTGAAAGGTCATCAGGAGTGCGTAACAAAAGGTGTTTGCTTTTAAAGGTCACGCTGAGAGCAAAGGGAAATCATCCACCCTTCTCACAAATTTTCTCAAGTAATGGCCTCAGCGCTCTCCTATTTTTGAGAGTAATAGGCAATAAGTCCTGATACAGGGAAATAGAATCACCATTAAAAGTTATCATTCGTTTTGTCTTGCTTTCTGCAGGATTTCCTCTTCTAGTGAGAAACTGAGGAGGCAGCAAATTATGTCTCTGGGAGATGTCAAGTCTGGGCCTTTAGCCCTTAGTGCCCTATGGGCTCTCACAAACTCACTTTCTGTATCTGCAGGTTTTTCAACAATACTATTAAATACTTTTTGAAGTGCAGAGGGTATTTGATCCGATAGGACTGTTTCAGATATTCCCCTCACTGTGATAATATTTTGTTTGCATCTGTTGTCAAGATCTTCTAAATGTCTGTTCATTTCAATAAGGTGTTTAGCGTGAGAAACAGTAATGAGGTCTAATCTCTGGATGGCATTTTCCATGGTAGTCATTTGTTCAGTAAGCACTAAGATGTCTGCTTTCAGGCCAGTGATAGCAGCCGACAATGTGTTCTTAATGTCGGCCGCAATAGCTGTCATGTCAGCATAGGTCAGTGGGTGTTCTGTCAAGGTTGCTGCTCTCACCCCATCCTCCCAGGCTGGCTGCGAGTCATCGCTGTGATCCTTGTCTTGTCGTGCCGGCTTCATCTTGCCTGCTGCCATGCTGCTCCTGGCCGAGGACTGTGAGCGGAAAATCTCCATGATGTCTCTAACTGGAGCAGGGTTCGCAGAGGCTGATCGGCGTGAGCGTTGCTACGGGGTGTGCTGAGTAAGTTTCCCCATGCTTTGGCAAATAGGGAATCAGAGTGAGCTGGAAGAAGCCAGCGAGATCCGGGAGCTCCTCAATGTGCGGCCATCTTCCTTGGGCTCCAAGCCACTGCCCCAGGAGTAGTTTCTATTGTATCCATCCATCCTTATCCAATATGCAAAGACAGTTATCAGGTTAGTGACTGCTGATGGAAAGTCATCCAAGGGTCACCTGAGTGATTATCTTTCTGAACCTGTTTGTTCTTGCTAAATCCTGTTTCCTCTCATTGAAACTCTTTTTATTGAAGACTTCTCATTAGATGTTAAAAAGGCTTGTCAAATCCCCCAGGGTGCAGAGTGCACATAACCCTTGTTCTCAATATAATCTGTGCAAGGGTTGACAAGCTGTGTGGTTGGACCCCTCCGAATGAGGGTTTCTGAGCACCACTTCCCACCATACTAGAGCAAGGGGGTGTACTTCTGAGTAACAGTGCACAGAGGAGGAGGGGGCTGCAGAGACACAGAGCATACACAGCCCACACAGACCCACCTCCTCTGTACATATGCTGGACTCTTTGCTGTTTAGCCCTGTGCCTACTCTGCTCCCTTTGTACTGTGAAAAGACAGAGCCCACAGTCTCTTACATCTCTCCGCTAGTTTAGAGATTACAAGAGTAGTAGCTGACAGCTTATGTTATGAAAAAACAAAACACATAAGCTGACAACACACGACAGAAACTATTCCATTATTGTCCAAGTGAGAATAGTGTTATTACTGCTGGATTGTGCTGCTGTCAGCTTGTGTTTCATCAATGACAACCCAAGCCACCACTACTACTACTGTAGCAATCTCCAAACTAGCTGGGGGCTGTGGAAGATTGCGGGTGCAGTCTTTTTACATTGCACAGGGAGCATATGAGGAACAAGTCTGAATTGCAAGGGGGTGGCTGCAGAAGAGAGAGGGGGTTGTGACTTCATTGCTGCCTGTACCTCCCCCCATAGAAACACCCATAATTTGAGCTTTTGCTTGGAATAGAATTGCAGAAAATAATGACAGAAATAAAAAATACAATCTGTTTATAAACCACAGCACAAATTTTACTGGGAGGAGTGCTATGTGTGCTGGGTCCCCTGAGGGATCTACCAAGCCTTTAAAATTCTGACTAATTAAATCCCCTAGGGGACCCAGAGCACATGGCATTTATTTAAATGCAATACCCTCATTTTGAAGGTGAGTGCTCCAGTGCCAGGTTAAAGGTTGATAACTTGTTGACTTGTTCCTTTGCCACAGAGCTTATTTCTATTTTAATAAAATCTTTTTATTGCCACTGGTGCGTTGATGAGTTGGGAACACAGGGGCTTTTTTGTGGGCCCCATGCTATGTACATTATGGCACAAATTCACTTCAACAATGACTGGTTGCAGAGGAGAGTAAAAAAGGATCCCATGAAATTTTTAAATTATTAAATTATTAATTTTAAATATATTAATAGTAAAAAAAGAAGGTCTGAAAATAATGGCCCCCTAAGATATGCTGGTTACAAATGACAAAGAAAAGGCAACTGTAATTAACACATTCTTCCCCTCAGTTTTTACAAAGGAAAAGGAGGGATATAGTAAACAGGACTGCATCATTCGTAACACACCACAGAATGTGGCTAACAGAAGACAATGTTTGAAAAAGACTAAAAAATCTAAAAAAAAATAAATCACCAGGACTGGATAGCTTACAGCCAAGAGTCCTCAAAGAACTCAGGTTATAGCCAGACTGCTATACCTAATTTTTATGGACAGCATACTGAACTAGTACCAACTGATTGGTGAAGGGCCAATGTGATATCACTATTCAAAAAAGGACAGAAACGTATACCGTATTTTTCGCTCCATAAGACGCACTTTTTTCCCCAGAAAATATGGGGGAAAATGTCTGTGCGTCTTATGGAGCGAATACTGACAGTCCTCCACCTGTCACCGCCGCCGTGTTAGGACCAGCGGCTGTCCCCTCCCACTGCAGCCTGTCCCCTCCCACTGCAGCCTGTCACCGATGCTTTCCCTGCCTTATCCCTTCTCTCTCTGGATACTGACAGTCCTCCATCTGTCACCGCCGCCGTGTTAGGGCCAGCGGCTGTCCCCTCCCACTGCAGCCTGTCACTGATGTTCTCCCTACCTTATCCCGTCTCTCAGCGGGCTGTCCCCGCAGCTCTTCATAGTAGGCAGTCCCCCGCCAAACCCAGCTCTGCCGGTCCGCCCTGCAGGTGTGGCCTGTCCTCAGAGCTCCTCCCCGCTCCTGGCATGTCTGTGTACTGCTCTCTGTGCTCTGCAGTCCGGTCTGCAGGTGTGGCCTGTCCTTACAGCTCCTCCCCTTTCCTGGCATGTGTCCAGAGTGCGATCCCTGCTCTGCAGTCCGGTCCTGTCTGCTGGTGTGGCCTGTCCTCGGAGCTCAGTGCGCCCCCTGCTTTCTGTAAGTTAAAAATGACATGCTGGGAGTTGTAGTCCTTTTCCTTGATGTATGGTGTCAGATCATTTGATATTCTGGGTGGAGGGGCCCTGTGTCTATGGTCATCTCCTATAGTACGTCTGCAGTCTCTGGTCATCTCCTGTAGTATGTCCGCAGTCTCTGGACTATGTCTGCAGTCTCTGGACTATGTCTGCAGTCTCTGGTCATCTCCTGTGCTGTGTTCGCAGTCTCTGGTCATCTTCTGTACTGTGTCTGCAGTCTCTGGTCATCCCCTGTGCTGTGTCCGCAGTCTCTGGTCATCTCCTGTACTATGTCTGCAGTCTCTGGTCATCTCCTGTACTGTGTCCACAGTCTCTGGTCATCTCCTGTACTGTGTCCGCAGTCTCTGGTCATTTCCTGTACTGTGTCCGCAGTCTCTGGTCATTTCCTGTAATGTGTCTGCAGTCTATTGGTTCAGAATATTTTTTTTCTTGTTTTCCGCCTCTAAAACCTAGGTGCGTCTTATGGTCAGGTGAGTCTTATGGAGCGAAAAATACGGTACCTGGGAACTACAGACCAGTCAGTCTAACATCAATAGTATGTAAACTAATTGAGGAGCTGACAAGGGACTATATCCAAGAATTTGCTGCAGTAAACTGTACCATTAGTAGTAATCAGCAGGGCTTTAGGAAAGGTCGTTCTTGGCAAACCAATCTGTTAAAATTCTATGAGGAAGTGAGAAGCCATCTAGATAAAGGAAGGGCAGTGGATGTGGTTTTTACAAAAGCTTTTGATACAGTTCCACATAAATGTTTAATTTACATACTAAGATCTATAGGCATGGACCACAGGGTTTGCTCATGGATAGAAAACTGGTTACAGGGATGAGTCCAATGGGTGGTGATAAATAGTGAGTACTTAAACTGGACTGAAGTGGTAAGTGGGGTACCACAAGGCTCTGTCCTGGGGCCAATTCTGTTTAATGTTTTCATAAATTATATAAAGGTTGGTATAAAGAACTCAATCTCAGTATTTGCTGATGATACAAAGCTAGGTAGGGCAATAATTTCATAACAAGATATAGAAACTTTACAAGAAGACCTCATTAAAATAATGGGGTAGGCACAAGGGCGGACTGACAACTCATGGGGCCCCCGGGCAATAGGGGATCAAGGGGCCCCTGTGTCCTTGCCCAACTCAAAAAAGTCTATGAAAAAGGTACCAGGGGCACTCATGAGTCCCCCTACTGACCCCCGGGCCCCTTGGGCAGTGCCTGAGTTTCCAAATGGTCAGTCCGCCCCTGGGTGGGCAAATATATGGCAAATTAAGTCTAAAGATGAAACATGTAAAGTAATGCACTTGGGGGCTAAAAATATGAATTCAAATTACTCGCTAGAAGGAAAACCTCTGAGGGAATCAAGGATGGAAAAAGATCTGGGGGTCCTAGTAGATGACAGGCTCAGCAATGGCATACAATGCCAAGCTGCAGCAAGCAAAGAAAACAAAATATTAGCATGCATTAAAAAGGAAATTTACTCAAGAGATAAAACTATATTCCTGCCACTTTACAAAACTCTGGTTCGGCCACATCTGGAGTATGCTGTCCAGTGGTCACCAATCCTCAGGAGGGAGGTGCTGGAACTGGAGAGAGTACAGAAAAGGGCAACAAATTTAATCAGGGGTACTGTTGGACCTCAGTTATGAGGAACGATTACAAACACTAAGCTTTTTCCCCCTGGAGAAGAGACACTTGAGAGGGGATATGATAGCGAAATACAAGTATCGTAGTGGTGATTCTAGTATAGGAATAAACTATTCAGTCTCAGGGAGTGTACATGGGGTCACTCAATGAGATTGTAAGAAAAGATTTTTATCTTAAATTGCATAGGGGTTTTTCACTGTCAGGGAGATAAGGATGTGGAACTCACTTCCACAATTGACGGTGTCAGCAGGAAGCATTGATAGTTTCAAAAAACCTCCCAGACAGGTATCTTGATGAACACAATATACAGGGATACAGGCAATTTTTGTTTGTACATGAACACACACACAGACACACAGACACACACACCCACCACACACAGGTTGAACTGGATGGACTGGTGTCTTTATTCAACCTTACCTACTATGTAACTATGACACCAATTTCATTGTTGATTGGCAAAAGAAAGTACAGAATTTGGATGAAGGAAATAAATTAAACTTATCTTCCCTGGTATAAAAAAAAATACAGTGTATATATATACAGTATATATATATATATATATATATATATAATATTATATATATATATATATATATATATGTGTGTATATTCATTTGGATGTGTTATCCTTCCCCTCCTCCTTTTTATTATAGAAAGTAAATAGTTTAAATAATCCATAAAATTCTTTGTCTACTTTGATCTTCCAAGTTTAGTCTTTGAAAAATCTCAATTGTACACTCTGGCTTTCAGTCTCAAGATTAATGAATCAAATTAGGAATTTTCAGAGTAACTAAGGGATTCTGGCAGATTACTTCATTAATTCATATTACAGTGTTTTCCTAACTAATTAATCTGTTAAATATGCCTGAATGTTAAAGTTTTTTTCTGCACAGAAAGTAATTTGCTTGTTAAATGTTTTTACATTTTCTGTTACATTCTTTTTATTATTTATAGAGATGAGCGAATCGAACTTGGCGAAGTGGAAATCGTTTCGAATATTAGGAAAAATTCGATTCGCACCGAATCTGAAAATTAGCAAACTTCGGATGCACGAATCGAATTTTTCCCGATCGGCCGATTTTCATCCCTTCTACAGCCGGCAAAAAGTGTCCCCTGCAGAGAGCTCCGCTATTTCTGACAGTTCTCTGACAGTTCCTTCACATTTACAGCGGTTGAAACATTGTATCTATTTGTTTCCATTTAGGATACAGATGTTTTTATTCGGAAACAAATAGATACAATGTTTCAACCGCTGTAAATGTGAAGGAACTGTCAGAGAACTGTCAGAAATAGCGGAGCTCTCTGCAGATACACTTTTTGCTGTACTGGAAATTCTTCTTATTTTCATCCTACTTCTTCTTCTTCTTCTTCTTCTTCATCCTCATCCTCTTCTTCTTCTTCTTCTTCTTCATCCTCATCCTCTTCTTCTTCTTCTCTTCTTCTTCATCCTCATCCTCTTCTTCTTCTTCTTCTTCTTCTTCTTCATCCTCATCCTCTTCCTCTTCTTCTTCTTCTTCTTCATCCTCATCCTCTTCTTCATCTTCATTCTCTTCTTCTTCTTCATCTCATCTTCTTTCTTCTTCATCCTCATCTTCTTCTTCTTTCTTCTTCTTCTCTTCATCCTCATCTTCTTCTTCTTCATCATCCTCATCTTCTTCTTCTTCTTCTTCATCCTCATCTTCTTCTTCTTCATCCTCATCCTCTTCTTCTTCTTCTTCTCATCTTTCTTCTTCTTCTTCTTCATCCTCATCCTCTTCTTCTTCTTCTTCCTCTCATCTTCTTCTTCTTCCTCTTCTTCTTCTTCTTCCTCTTCTTCTTCTTCTTCTTCTTCTTCTTCTTCTTCTTCTTCATCTTCTTCTTCATCTTCTTCTTCTTCATCTTCTTCTTCATCTTCTTCTTCTTCATCTTCTTCTTCTTCCTCTTCATCTTCTTCTTCATCATCTTCTTCTTCTTCATCTTCATCTTCTTCTTCTTCTTCATCCTCATCTTCTTCTTCATCCTCATCTTCTTCTTCTTCTTCATCCTCATCCTCTTCTTCTTCTTCTTCCTCATCCTCTTCTTCTTCTTCTTCTTCTTCTTCTTCTTCTTCTTCTTCCTCATCCTCATCTTCTTCTTCATCTTCTTCTTCTTCTTCATCTTCTTCTTCATCTTCTTCTTCTTCTTCATCTTCTTCTTCTTCATCTTCTTCTTCTTCATCTTCTTCTTCATCATCTTCTTCTTCATCATCTTCTTCATCATCATCTTCTTCATCACCTTCTTCTTCTTCTTCTTCTTCTTCTTCATCCTCATCTTCTTCTTCTTCTTCTTCTTCATCCTCATCCTCTTCTTCTTCTTCCTCATCCTCTTCTTCTTCTTCATCTTCTTCATCTTCTTCTTCTTCATCTTCTTCTTCTTCATCATCTTCTTCGTCATCATCTTCTTCTTCATCATCTTCTTCATCATCATCTTCTTCATCATCTTCTTCTTCATCTTCTTCTACTTCATCTTCTTCTTCATTCTTCTTCTTCATCTTCTTCATCTTCTTCTTCTTCTTCTTCATCTTCTTCTTCTTCTTCATCTTCTTCTTCTTCTTCATCTTCTTCTTCATCTTCTTCTTCTTCTTCATCTTCTTCTTCATCTTCTTCTTCATCTTCTTCATCTTCTTCTTCTTCTTCTTCATCTTCTTCTTCTTCTTCATCTTCTTCTTCTTCATCTTCTTCTTCATCTTCTTCTTCTTCTTCATCTTCTTCTTCATCTTCTTCTTCATCTTCTTCGTTGTGCCCCGTGACTGCCCAAATGAGTGAAGTGTGCGGTGATTCAAAGATCGACGGCACTCATCTGCATGTCATACTGACTGACAGTATTATTTCTCTTCCCCAGCAGACTCCAAGGGCATTTAAATTCACGGTACAGTGTTCTGCACTAATATAAAGGCTCTCTGAAGCCTAGAAACCCTTTTAATAAGTTAAATTCGCAGCGAATAAATTCGCATCGAATCGAATTTATTCCGCAAATTCGCCGAATCAGCCGAATCGAATTTTTGAATAATTCGCTCATCTCTAATTATTTATTAAAACACACACACATAAACACTTGGGTTTTTCAAAAGAGAAAACACAGCATTAGCTGGTTGCCTTTAGACTTCTTCTCTGCTATTGAAACTTTGTTTATGTGCCCTATATACACAACAGGAGGGTGGGGAAGAGAGGAACAGGAGAGGGGTGAGTCAACAGCTCTGATTCTGATTTATTTGCATGCTTGAGCTATTGATCTCTGTACAGAGTTTTACCTGCTGACTAAAGATAACAGTGCAATATAATCCAATGGTTGCCACTGCACACATATCAGAGATACAAAATAGGTCCGGGTGCAAAGCAAAGTCTGCAGTACATATAGACCAAAAGAGAGAGCGGCACTCATGGGTTTTAAGAGGTGAACAAACAGTGAATATTTTTTTTTTTTTCGAAAAGGCACAAGCCTTGTCTTCCTCAGGATCAAATACCAGTACAATATAAATTTACCTTAAAATATTTTCTTATCTTTTATTTTTTGAAAAAATAAATAATGAAATCTGAATCATTATGTACAAGTTGTCTTTTATTTCCCACATGTTCATATTTTCTTTAAAGTGAAACTCCACCCAAAAGAGAAAGTTCTGCTTGTCTGCTTCTCCCCCTCCCCCCCTCCACTGCCACATTGTTGTACTTTTGGGGGGGGGGGGAACTGGTCTTGACAGGCACCCGCTCCCACTTCTAGGTACAGTAT